CTCGCTGGTGTTTGCAACAGGCTCTGCCTTCGTGACGTGGTGGTGAGACCAAAAAAAAAAAAGAAAAAAAAGTAGGGAATGCGTGAAAACGTTGCACTTGGCACACAGCTGCCGATTATGATGCATTTTGCAAGCAAACCAAGCTTAATGCTTGCAAGCAGCTGGAGTCGTTTGGGTTCTTGGGCTTGGAGGTACCTGGCACCCTTGCTCTGTGCATACATAGACATGATTCAGATGTAGGTGAGGCAAGACATACCCATAGGTGTCCAGGTTCTGTGGAGCCTCGTTTATGCTTGGTGGTTTCAAGTGAGCTCGGTTTTGGATGACATCTGAAAAACCTCAGAAAGGGAAATAAGGGTTTGGCATGTGCGATTAGACAATGTCAAGCAGGAGTGAAAAATTCACATAAGATATGGGGAAAAGGAGTGAAAAATTCCTCCTCATGGGGTGTTGCTTTACACCCACAGTTGGCAATTCTAGGACACTGCGTTTGTCTTTCCTCTCCGATTATCGTGAGACACTATCTATGGCTTAAAATGTCGACCAGTTTCTTTGCAATATGTCCCAACTGCCAAATTGTGCATATTTTATACATAAATTGGATTAATTCGCCAGCCGCCCAAACATGTTTCATAGGCACCCATGAGTGAACAGTTCATAGGAAAAGAAGGAAACGATTTAAAGCGCGGAAGTTATTTTTACCGTCATTTTAGTCTTGCTAAACCTCAGTTAGCCGGTTTTTTTTTTTTTGGTCCATGGCGGAGCTCAGTAATGATTCCAGTTCCACTACCTCATCACGTTACCTTATCCTGTCGTACATAGGTTTGGGACAGACCTGGCGCAGCTAATACGGGAGTGTTTGGTAGCGAAATTCTTCCCTTCGAAACTGCTTTCTCATACAGACCTCTGATTTATTTCGCACTTCAGTGTTCTAGGCTGGTGGACATGATTGATATGTCTATTTTGTGGGTGGGCTGGATGACCCTGTTTTTTCAGCAAACCATGCGAAAAATATTGACTTGTGTGGGGGCGTAGAAAGAAGCCTACCCTTAAAAATCCAGTGAGTTGCTCCTGTGGAGCAACTAGTTGCTAACCTCACCCGCTTTCAACACATGATTTGTAACCAGATTTGGCCTTTTTATCTTTAAGTACAACGATTTTTGTTCGTAAGACAAATAATGATGCCACATGACATGCAATTAAACTATTTTGTTCCAAAGAATAATGAAACCTAAATTGATGCCTTTGCAGCAGCTGAAAAGGCGAGCAGCAAAGCTGCTTTTGTGGCTGTCTATAAGTTGCATTACGTTCGCAGAAGACAGAATGTTTTGTGGAGCATTTCCACTATTGCCTTTAAACAGGCCAACCATAACAATCAGAATCGGTTTTTCAAAGTTATTTCAGGGGTTTTGAGTTGTGTGTTGTCAACTTTGTCTAGAGTCAACAAGCTGTTACAAATGAATTGAACCAAAACACAAGTTGAAACGAGCCACAAATCAGCTTTGTCATGTTTTATCACAAGTGCTGCCGTCAAGAAGAAGGTGAGGTGAGTTGAGATGATGTTCAACATATGGGCTACTCTAAGATAGAGTAAGTGGGTTAATTGCATGGCAAGTGGCAGTAGAAACTTTGCAAGAATCATTGACTCTTGAATGCTGCTGTCGTACAGAATTCGAAAGTATGAGATAAGGTAGGGCTTCATGAGGTTGGGCTTGATTATGTGACTCATGGAAATATTTATTGGTATTTTGCTGGAAATAGTGAGATAATATTTATCTTTCCTGACCCTTTTTCACAGAATCCAGATACACATGTGTTGTGTTTGATTCGATGTGTTGATGTGTAGGAGTCCAATGGTTTTTTGTCTGGATGCTTTATGCTTGTTGAATTTTTGTTGTTGTTTTGCTTGTTGAATTCCTTTTCTTTTTGTGTTAAAAATCATGTGGAGGGGAGTGCGAAGTGCGGCATCAAAACAAAACATCAAAACTTCGTGTTACATTGTTTTTGGCGCTCATTCCGCTGTAATGAAGTTACTATTCTTCAATGTTTTCCGTTTCACTAATGATTTAAGATGTTAAAAAACAAAAACAAAACACTTGGTCACGTTTATGATATTATGTCCATGCCAACTTGAAGTGCATGTCTTTGTTTGCTGGGCATCTCTCAACGACGCAGAAGTTCCAACTTTTGTTAATTGAATCTTTCACTTTCGCACGGTCTTTTTTCGATGTAATTTTTCACTCCTACCCTAGTTAAAAACTATTCCAGCTCACTGTACCCCGCTATACGCACTCACATGCCTCGCACTGTATGAACCGTTGACGTTCAGAGCTCGGTGACAGCGGTTGAAGTGTTAAATAAAGGGCAATATGATGCATGCACATTTTGCTCCCAAAATATCGCAATTGGCCCATAACACTGGGGACCACCCTTACCAGCACGTTGCTACTCCTGCGCAGGCTTATATCGTTTGCAGACATTCAAGACCGCGGTCTCGTTGTTTGTTTGTTCCATTCCATTGTTCACAGCCGTTTAAGTGGCTGGGAACAACGTCGCAGTTCGTTGCTAAATTGGGACTGAGAGCAGTTTCCATTCGCTTGTCGAGACCCATGTGCCCGTGCCTCGGTTTGCCGACACGAAAAGTCGCCGCTGTGGCCCATTCATGTGCGTCCGCACGCAAACGCCCCTTCGCCTGAGCTGGGCTCCCTGCTTTCCAGGGCCGATACTCTGCTACATGAAAGGAGAATTAACCCAATACTGACATGCCCCTCTGCCTAGCCTGTCCTCTTCTCCACTCACCTCCACTCTCCTGTCGGACTTTCCTCTGTTCTACCATCTCCACTACCCTTTTTTCTCTGGCCTCCACCCGGACTGGCGGCACCCTTCTCTGTCTTCAAGTCCAGCCCGCGTTGCTGTTGTTGTTGAGTATCTCGTTGAAGTTCACCTCGTCGTAATCGTTGAAGTGCATGTTTGCTCCAGTGCGGTAAGACCCATGTGCTTCGTCTTCGGATTTCCAGTCCAGAGAGGAACTAGGCAGGCCCAGCCAGGCTCACTCCTCCGGGCTACTTGGTCTTGGAGCGACCCTGTGCCACCACCACGTACACTTGGGATATCTCCCAAGTACGTTGGCGTTTGTCCACTTAGACTTGGGAACACCGCGCTTCCTAAGCCTGGGGCGCCCCTCCGTGTACGTGTATGGACGCCTTACTGGCCTGATTCAGAGTCGGCTGTACCGGGCTGGGAGGGCAGCTGCAGTGAGGTCTGGAGTCTCTCAGCCGCCGGTATGCGTGGCGTGCCCTTCTGCTTGGGCTTGGGGAGCTCCTCATCATCCGTTTTGGGGTGTTTACGTAACATGTAGCAGAGAGCACCTGTGCTTTAGCTTGGGCTTCTGGGCTTCTCAGGCCTGGGCTTCTCTGGGCGAAGTACGATGCCTCTGCTCGGCCACTGATGCGCTGCTGTACCAAAGCCATGGGCGCCGCGTTTCTTGGAAGATTAGGGCACCCTTCTATTGGGGCATGGGGTCTGCCAGTCTAATGTTGGAAGACAGCGTCATCTGGGATTGGTGTGCTCCTCCTATATTACCTTGGGGTGTCGGATATGGCCCATTCGCCTGATTTCACGAACTCTTCTGTACTGGTATTTTGAGACGCCCTGTTTTAACTTACTGTAACAGGGGCGCCTTAATCAGACAAAAGGGCGCCATAATTTCCCATTGCTTAAGGAAGGGGGGGGGGGGGCGTGGCAACGAGCCACCCTTAAGTGCCCCTCGGCACCTCTGCTGCCGCACTTGTGCAATTCAGTGCCGTGAGCCTCGTATTATTAGTCTTGCGTACCGGTTCATCATTTGGACACCGCTGCCTTCTCCGGTGACGCGATAATTAAGAATTGACCTTTTGTATGAAGGCTCCCTCCCCAATGAAGACCTGGTTAGGATAGAAGTATAGAAGAGTGGGCCAGAGGAGTGTCGGGGCTAGGTCATGACAGGTGCCACATTTTTTTCTGCAATCCAGTCGAATAATTTGCCGTAAGTGTGCTCAAATCCTCATGTGACCTTTTGTGGTTCAGTGCACATCTCCTCTCTCGGCTCATTCTTGGTTCATTATCAATCACAACCGATGCTTTGACTCTCACAGACTGGTAAATGTCATTCTAGTCCAAGCCCGATTGGCATCGTTGGCGCTTTAAGACGCGCTCAACTGCTGAGGTTTTATTCGCCTGCCTGTCCTGGCAGGAAGGACGGGCAGTGTGGGGAATCGAATCTCGTACCTCTGGTTTCCCAGGCGCGCGGTGGTTAACGCAGACGCGTTAACCAATACACTATCGGCACTCATCCAAGCCGGTTACGTATCCATTTTTTTGTCAATCACTCAAGCCATAACCAGTTGCAATTCACATCTGTCGTGGCTCATGTTTAATTTACTGAAAATGGGTCGGATATTTGACATGCAGCCATGCTCGTGAGCGTTGCCACAGGGAATGCTTCACATCTGTGGAGATTCAGTCTCGCGCCAAGTATGAGCGAACTGAACCTCAGCCTTTCGTCCAGTTTGATGCACAGCCATGATTCAATTATGTCGTAAAAGGCTGCATGAAACGGCCCGTCTCGTGGGGTACGCCACCTATAAAATATTGGCAGGTAAGGCAAGCCTGTTGTGTGGGGTCGGTTTTTTCTTCAAATCCATCCCGGCGAGGCCTTACGTGAGGTGACGTGCTTCTTGCGCGTTGTCGTTGTTCGTGTTGTGGTAATAAAAGAAAGCCAAAAGCTCAAACTTAACGAAAACTAGTTGCCTCTAGGCTCAGGGACCAGAACGTTTGAGACTTGATAGCGCTTGTTAAGTGCATTGGCGTGCATCTCCAGTGTAACACAACCTGTTGTCTCAGGTTAGTCCTCATACGAGGGCGAGACAGTCGTCTGGGTTAGCGAGACAGCCGTCTGTGCTGGGGAAACCCGTCTGGGCCGGCTCCTGCCAGTGACGCAACTGCTGTTGCCGTTGCCGCAGTGACCAGCGCATCACGCAGGACGTGGACAAGATGTGCAAGACGCTCAGCACCATGTTCTCGCAGCTGATCATGGCGCCCTTCATCGTCGGATACTACACGTACAGCGTCTACGTCAAGTGAGTCGACCCATCACGTGGTGCCGCCGGCGCCCCGTGTGCAGGCTGGGTCAGTGCGACGCCACCGGGCAAACCACAGGATGAGTTGCGTGGTCAGCTTTTGTTCAGCGGGTGCCCCAGTAGCTCCTGGCCTTTGTACAAACCTTGTGTTCCTGATCTTACATTCCCATGTTACGTGCTCTGCAAGATTATGTGGTCCAATCCTGCAATTTAGGTGAAATTTAAGTTTGTTGGCGTATATGATAAAATACCCAGCGCATTTAACAATAATGTGATCTGTGCACTGCAAGATGTCCCCTGTCTGCCTTTGTCATGGACACACTCAGTGATCGAGATTAAGTTATGTTGGAAAGGTTCCCTCAGGGAGTGTCGCGCGTTTTTGCGTTTTGTGCCTTGTGCTATTGGAAGGCATCGCATTGGACATTCCGTTTTAAGTAGTATCGGTGGTAATCCTGTTTAGAACTAGCTCGGAATGCCGCCTGTTGTGACGTGCTGTGAGGTGGGACACGTTGTAACAGGCATGAGCAGTGAAGCGACCTAACCAAAGAACTGCAGGTAAGGCGAGATATAATTAAACACACCGTCCGTGCATTGGCATTGTGCTTCATGTCATTGTAGTCGATGGAAAACAAGCTTAGAATCACTTACGGACTTTTGTAACACAAGGGATTTAGGAAATGTGTCGGGAGGATGATACGACTGTTGTCATTGTCTTCCGAACAACTGTCAGCTGCTGTGATCAGATCCATAAAATGCTCATAACGCTGGAAGCCCATGCTTTGGGTGGAGCGACGTTGCTACTGTCATTCGATGGACATTCACTCTTTACCCGGTCTCTGATGCCGTACAATGCCCTAAACGCCCATTCTGCTCTCCACTGGCAGCACGGGGTACATTGGGATCCTCAGCATCTACGGTTTCTTCGTCGTAGCGACTGTCGTCAACAAGGTCATTATGACTCCAATCGTCACATACGTGGTGAAGCAGGAAGAAAAGGAGGGCACCTTCAGGTCAGTCCCGACCGGGCGGTCGCACAGGCGGTCGGGGTCGGAAGTTGTGTCTATCGACAGCATGCCAATCGATAGCTCATGAAACGCTGCGTGGGGGTGGTCAGGGGGAACGTGGCGTGGGTTCAGTCCGCGGCTCGGGTTGGAGTTGTTTTGCGGCTTGAAGTGAACATAATTTTAGCAGTATATTAAGAGTAGGCAATTTTTCATAAAGCTGTCATCTTTGAGCGCGTTTTGTCACAAATGGTCGTTGTGTTGTGTAAGAAATATTTTTATGAGTTTTTTCCTCGTTTTGTGCGTATATACATCGCATGCACCCAACGTTTCGGCCAGCTATTGCCCAGCCTGTCGTCATTTGATCTCTGGGTACTGGATAGTGTTCGGCTTACACCCATGCGCTCGTAACAACCGGGATTTTCTCCTGAAAATTGCTGGGATGCGAAACGGGAGTGACCTCTTAGTACAGCGTTTTGCTACTGAGAACGAGTCACGAAAAGGGGGGCCGGCCAAGACTTGTCGCGACCTCGCGTAGGATGGAACATTTTTCGTTGAATGTTGAACGCGGCGCGCTGGTTGGGGGGGGGGGGGGGGGGGGGGGGGGGTCGCACATAGCAGATATAAATGTGCACCAGATGTGGCTACCAAACTCATCTCCGGAGTCACGAATGCTCAGCCATGGGGTCAATCAACATGCTTAGGGCGTGGCAAAGCAAATCACTGGAGCACAGCATGTCGCCAGGCTCAAGATTAAATGGTTTAAGTTGATTGCATGAGATTTGAGGCACCTCGGACTCACACTTACAGTATGGCCTTATTTTATTGACCTGATACTATGTTACTTGAGGTCTGACCTTATTTGACTAGGTCACTACCAAGCAGCTTACAAATTTGACACAAGAAGTTCACAGAGGCTTGTTTTCGACAGCCACTAGGGCAAAATGAATAACTATATATATATATATATATATATATATATATATATATATATATATATATCCACATCTCTGTCTGTCGTTCGTGCGTGCGTGCGTGCGTGCGTGCGTGCGTACGTGCGCTCGTCAGACGGAATGTGTTAGTGCGTGCGTGCGTGTGTAATGAATGAGCACCTTGTTGCAAGGTTGTTAGAAAAAAATGTCATGTCCTGCTTCATTTCCTTCAGCTTTTCATCATCCGTTATCGTGTGGTGACATCGAAATTGCTGAGAAATTCTCGAATTGGTGAACTGAAAGCTGAGGTATCGTGTCCGAGTCTTATTTATCAGTAATTTGTCTTAAACGCCATATACTATGCTCGTGCTCTTCGTCTTTATTCCAGACCCCGCCTCATGCGGCAGTATACAAGCATTCTTTGCCACAGAACGCCAACGATATAAAAGGGAAGCCGTTTCTAAAATATAGGGAGGCTACCGTACGTTGTAGTACATCGCATCCCCCCTTTTCAACATATGTACACTACACGCTATAGGTCCAGGCGACCGGTTTCTTCAGAACTCGACCGCAACGGGAAGTGGGATGTTTGGCGGTTCTTGGTCGTGGTACCGCTACTGCTCTGGGCTCGTCTGAGCACAGGCAGCTCATGGAGGTGGGCTCTGCTTTGGCGCGGACATCGTCCTGGCTGGGGTGGTGTTGTCCAAGCGAGTTGGAGACGGGCTGAGGCTGCGCAGGTGTCGCCGGTTCCCTCCGATAAACCCGCCGCCGTTGGCCACTCTGATGGTGTACGACCTTGGTTCAGGCCGCTGGTTCACGACGGTCGCTGGTTCCCATCGGCCGCTTGAGGGTGCTGTACGCGGATGGGTTGTCCGGGACGGAGTGTGGACAGCTCGGTCGTTGTTTCCTGACATCGGTTTGTTGTCCCTTGGCTGTACATCTTGAACCTCCCGACCAGACGGTACTCCAGTGGTTCGGCTTTCCACACACGGTACATGTTGAACCCATGGCTGGGCACTCTTATTCGCGAAGATGAGCTTTGTGGCCACATCTGTTGCATGTTTTGTCACCTTTTTGGCTTCTTTGCACACAGTGCACTGCTTGGTTGGCGTCTTGGGATTGGACGCTCTTCAGTTGCTGCATGTGCTGCATGGACGCTTCATGTGTGCGACCCACCTCCAGCACTTTGTCCAGGTTGAGAGTGTTATCTTTGCTGAGGAGCTCTTTTTGAACCTCAGCATGGCATGTGCCAATGATAATTTGTTCCATGACCCTTTCATTGGACTCCTGGTCATCTCTGAAGGCACACTTTTGGGCCTGGAGTTTACATCTGGATACAAAGTGATCAAACGACTCGCCTTCCTCCTGCTTCAGGCGTTGGAGGAACAGCCTGGCCACTCTGAAGTTGGTCTAAGGCTCAACTTGGGTCTGGAATTTGTCCCATACCTTTTAAGGGCTCTTCGCCTCCTCTGCTGGGAGGCCCATGAGTTGTAGAATCTCAGGCCTTGCTCTCCCGAGAACCAGCAAGATATGGTCCACTCGTTTTTCTTTCTTGATTTCTTTCACTGAGAAAAAACAGTTCACATTTCTGCTTGAAGAGCTTTAGGACAAGGCTTTGGTCAGCCGCTTCCCAATCCGTGCGAGGTATGAAAGAATCAGACATTTCTTTTGTCCTCTGCGGGCGATTGCGGACGTACGTGACGCGCACTATTGAAGCTCTTAATTTGGCTTAGCGGGTACTAGATATTTATTCCCTCCTGTTTAGATTGTGCTGCAATGTGTTCTCACCCAGTTTGCCACCATGCGGTATCGTGTCCCGAGTCTTATTTATCAGTAATTGGTCTTAACACGCCATATGCTTTGTCCGCGCTCTTCGTCGCATATTCCAGACCGCGCGTCATGCGGCAATATACAAGCGTTTTGCGCCACCGAACGCCAACGATATAAAATGGAAGCCGTCACTAAAATGTAGGACGGCTACCGTGCATGGTAGTACATCGCAATCAGTAGCTGCCAGGCAGTCACCCCCGGGTCAGAAATAACACTTGTCATGCTCCACACCCATCACAAATTTTTGTGTGGAACAGGCACACTGGGTCAGACATGCAAGATTATGTTCTACACCCATGACAGCTTTCAAGCATTCACATAGATCATATATAACAGTCATGCTCTGGTCCCAATCAGTGAACTGCTAAGCAGGCACACTAGGTCAGGCATGATACATGTTAGCTGTTGTGTTCATGAGTGAGCTGTTAGGTGGTCTTGCTGGGTCAGATGACACAGCCAGGATACTGGATCCTGTTCAGTTGGAGGGAATTTCAGCTCCCCCCCCCCCCCCCTATCCAGGAGCATCAGATGGGGCAAATAAGGAAAGAAACAAACCTTTCATTTGGTGTTGCTCTTAACCCAAGTATCTGTCCTCAGCCCCATCCATATCAGGTGAACCTTTCCACAAGTACACAGCTATTCAGCGTCTTCCCCCCCCCCCCCCCCCCCCCCAGTGAGTTTGACAGGCAGCCACATGAGGTCAGACGTGCACACAGAGGCAGATGCCTGTTTCAGTGATCATGCCAATCAGCATGCTGAGTACATATGCACTGATGCACAAGAGAACAATTTTAGGAAGTTCAGGCATTATTCCTCCCGTTCCCTCTTTTACGCAACCTGAAATTGTGAAATTTGTGAACATGCTGTGAAGATATACTAACCTGCATAACTATTTGGCTCTTAAACAAAACTTCACAGCTACATGACCCCTACATGTATGCAGCATACAATGGTGCAGGATCCTATTCATCTATAGGCTTCTGCTCCTCCGCTCCTCCTTTTCCATGTGGACGCAGGAATTGGGGAAAATCTAGGGGTGAACACCTAGTTTCTGATATTTGATGCTCTATACACATGTACTAACTCATCAACTCCAATCATTTTTATGAAGCTACACCCCTGGTAGCATTTCTTATATGCCAACATCCCTTTTCCTATAAACATGATCTGCTGCTGTTGGCATGCCATATTTCTGCAAGTTGTTAAGGGTATTTGCAAGGAAAATTATACATATACAAAGAACAGCACTAAAAGTCCAAGTCCTTAAAAATTAGCCAGGAAAATGGACAGATGGTGGACAAAAGTCACACCAGTTATCAACAGTTATCTACCATCACTGATATTTGTTTTGATAAAGGCATGAAGCTGACATCGACACATCCAGCTGTCCATTCTCCTGGTTACTCCATAAGAAATAAGGCTATAAAAGCTGCTTTATTTATGTTATATTCCCCCCAATTTTGGAACAAATGCGAGCGGTCTGGAGCCGGTTTTTGAGCAAGCTTTTTGGGCAGGTTCTACATTTTGAGAGTGAGTTGCCACAGCAATGGTGGAATGTTGGAAGCAGGCTGTAATAGACTGGAGCAGATTGTAACAATCACAGAAAAAAACAATAGTGTTCTTGCTCATCGCAGCCTAGTCCTTCAATGAAAACCGAGTGCACGGTTGCTTGTGAGAGCCTTATCCCACATCTCAACTTCAGTTGCACAATGACCAATTCTTCCTGTGGACTTTACAACAACTTTTTGTTTAATCATTTAACAGGAACATTAGAAGCAAATGCAGGTGCCGGCCTTGCCCCATATTTCACATGACTGAAATGAATTCGGGCTCCATGCAAATCATGAGGCAGATAAGCATGGATCTAAATGTGATCACAAACAACTAAGTCCCTAAAATAGACATTTATAGGCACAAACCAAATTAATTCAAAGATGAGACAAATCAAATCTGGGTTCTACCACGAGCAGGCCCATGGTGGCTAGCAAAATAATCAGCATATCTTCATTCCAATGTGGTGTGTTGTGAGGGGGTCCTGATGTAACATATGGAAAATACTGATTCGTCTATCACCAACAAACAACAACAAAATAATGCTTGCACTTACCAATAATACAAGGCATACGAAGCAGAAACTTACCGCAATGATCGGCAATAACGCACTCACAGATATGGTGTGCCAGGTTCAAGATATCCTCGACACACAGGTAAACAGCTGCAAATCCGCAGATAGATTACTAAATTCCT